GACATATCTGGGTTTGGTTTGCGCGTTTCATAGAAGACAGGGACACTAGACATATCTGGGTTTGGTTTGTGCGTTTCATAGCAGACAGGAACACTAGACATATCGGGGTTTGGTTTGCGCGTTTCATAGAAGACATTGACACTAGACATATCTAGGTTTGATTTCTGTGTTTCACAGAAGACAGGGACACTAGACATATCTGGGTTCGGTTTGTGTGTTGCATAGAAGACAGGGACATTAGACATATCTGGGTTTGGTTTGTGCATTTCAAAGAAGACAGGGACACTAGACATATCTGTGTTTGGTTTGTGCGTCTCATAGAATACAGGGGCACTATACATATCTGGGTTTCGTTTGTGTGTTTCATAGAAGACAGGAACACTAGACATATCTGGGTTTGGTTGTGTGTTGCACAGAAGACAGGGACACTATATATATCTGAGTTTCGTTTGTGTGTTTCATAGAAGACAGGAACACTAGACATATCTGGGTTTGGTTTGTGCGTATTATAGAAGACAGGGACACTAGATATATCTTGGTTGGTTTGTGCATTTCATAGAAGTCATGGACACTAGACATATCTGGGTTTGGTTTGGGTGTTTCTTAGAAGACAGGGACACAAGAAATATATGGGTTTGGTTTTTGCAATTCATAGAATACAAGGACATGTAGACATATCAGGGTTTGGTTTGTGTGTTTCATGGCTGGCAGGAACACTAGACATATCTGGGTTTGGTTTATGTGTTTCATAGAAGACAGGGACGCTAGACATATCTGGGTTTGGTTTGTGTGTTTCATGGAAGAAAGGAACACTAGACATATCTGGGTTTTGTTTGTGTGTTTCATAGAAGACAGGGACGCTAGACATATCTGGGTTTAGTTTGTGCGTTTCATAGAAGACAGGGACGATAGACATATCTGGGTTTTGTTTGTGTGTTTCACAGAAGACAGGGACGCTAGACATATCTGGGTTTGGTTTGTGTGTTTCATAGAAGACAGGGACG